TTTCAGGATGACACCCTCAAGGGCAGAAAGAGCATACTGGGAGCTGAATTCTGAAGTCAGCAAGATTGCTCAGTTGCTGTCCATCAGCTCGAGAGCCAGCATTTAAACAGAGTAAATGGGTATCCCTACCAGGGAAAAGTTAGCCAGCAAGACCGAGTGCGTGGGCTATCAGACTTTAGCAGACAGAATCAGACTTAGTGAACGGAACCCGTATTAGCAAACTGTGAAAGTACAGTGTGACCTCAAGGTTTACGAACAGACCCTCAGGAGGGAGGGGAACACACAAGCACCAAGTGCTGAGTAAGTACCACGTGTGAGTCTAACAGGAAAGTGAGTTCTGAGAAAGACCATCTGAAGTATGGCTGATGTCACATGCAAAGTGACGAAGGTTTCCAAGGCTGTCACGCGTCAGTCTTGGTGTGTTTGTGTGTTCCCACCTCACAAGCCATGAAGAAAAAGATTCTTCAACATGCCTATGGACGAGCAAAACTTGTTTGCGTCCATCCTTCAGAAGACAATCATGTGAAGAGGAATGTACTGGTCCAGACCCTTGGAGGATTCCGGCAGATGAGCTCTGTGCACACAGATAAGAAGAGCCAAAAGTCCTATCAGGTAACAGGACCAGTTGCCGCCATCGGGCAGGGCAAGCTCCTGAAAGAACTGGAGATCGGAGCGTCCTGGAAGGTGACCAAAGATGGCATCTCTCAAAATGCTCCAACGAAATACAAGGCAACACGTTTGAGAGCATGTCTCTCCACTTTGTGGATCTCTGTTTTGGCCCTCGGAGGACGCCGAAGCTAAAGGAATTGGCCTTGTTTTAGTAAAATCTTTCATTTTCAGGGATTTTTCTTTTCCCTTCTGTTTTTCACACTCTGGCTAAGTGCAGTATTTTCACTTCTGAAAATCCGACCTCTGGGCAGCAGTACTTTAAATAGACAATTGAAAAACTCAAAGCAAATCCCACGGGGAGCTCCATCATTAACCCTCTGCGTAAACTGCTTGCTTACACCTTCATTTCTCACGCAGAGGGCGTGGGGTTGCAGGCTCATCAATTAGCAGCGCCTTTAAAATGTTTTAAATAAAAGACTTCTGCATTTACATAGTCGATTTCTGCCAAGATTTCAAAACTGCTTCTTCTTGTCCTTAGAATTAGGAAGTTTTATACCTCACCCGGCTTCCTGCCTCTGACCCGGGATTAAACCGTGTGCAGCATGTTCCACTCAAAGGACGCGGAAGTCTGCCTGATGTTACACGTCCGCCTGGTAAAGCGGTCCTTCACTTTCTGAGTCATCCCCGTTCATGACTAAGAGAAGGGGGATGTAATCGGGATGTTGGTTAAAGAGAGAGGAGTCTGTCATTTGGGCTGGAAACCAGACAGATGGGAAAACCAGACTGTCTTCATCAGGTTAACCTCAGTTTAAGGTTGTTGAATGACTAAACACTGAATAGGTAGGAACACAAAGCCATTCTCCTCAAGGATCCCACAAGAAACAGAAACAGACAAAGGTAATTTGAACAATTATATTTAGAGGGGTTTCGCCTAATTTACTTAGTAGAATGGGCATATTCCAATTAGTCTGTGAGGCCTTCTGATAATCCTCCTCTGGTTTTGCTGTTTCACTTGGGTGTCCCCATTTCCCCTCCCCCAACTCTGGGTGCCTGCATTTGAAGGTTTCAGGGGGCATACCTGCTCCTTTGTCTCCCCTGCATACTTTAAGGCATGACCGAATTTTACAGCCATATATGGTTTTTAAAATGGGCTTGAACCTAATTCACTTAGCAAGGTTGTAGCAGAAAAGAGCATGTTAAAGCTGTGGTTCTCCACCTTCCTAATGCTGTGACCCTTTAAGACAGGTCCTCATGTTGCGGTGACCCCCGACCATAAAATTCTGCTGCTATTTCATAACTGTAATTTTGCTACTGTTATGAATTGTAGAATATAGGTATCCGATATGCAGGTATCTGATATGTGACCCCCGTGAAAGGGCTGTTGGACCCAGGGTGGCGACCCACAGGTTGAGAACCATGGAACTAGACTCAGAACTACGGGCATTCCCCTTGACCTCTTTGGAATCCTTTTCCAGGAAATGAAAATGCCAGCAACCGTACAAATGCCGGCCTGCTTCCTGGGAGCAGTGAGCATCCTGGTAAAGGGGGCTGGGTCCCTCTGTCCTGGTTTCAGGGGTGTGTAGTATCCATGCCTTTAATTCTGAACTTGGACTACAGAAGGCTGCTGAGGAGCAGACTCAAGGGCCTGTATTAAACAGGAGCTTCCAAGGCTGCCTTCGACATCAGCCCACATACTGGGCAGGGCAGCAGTGAAAGTCAGATATGCTCTCCTCTAATAAGATGACAAGCTAGTCAAACGTCCCTTTTGTCATGGTTATTAAGCAAGTATGTGCCAGTGGGGAGACAGAACCAAGACAGGAATGGTGGGGGTATGATGGGCAGACCAGCCACGCATCATGTGTGTTAGGAGTGAAAGCACCAGTCTTCATCCGGGAAGGAAATGAGGAGCAGGGTTTTTTGGGGGGTGTGGGAGGGAAGGAGGTTGGAGCTAGGAATGTGACTCGGCTGGTAGAGTGCTTTGCCTGGCATGCACAAAGCCTTGGGTTCGATTCCCAACGGTGCACATATCAGGTGACAGCGTTCAGATGGGAAAGGTAGGAGAATCAGAAGTTCAAGGTCATTTCTGGCTAGGTAGAGAAGTCAAGAGCAGTTGGGGGATACATAAGACTTACCAGGAAAGAAGAAAGGAAAAGGAGGTTGGGGCCCCCTTACTACCACGGCAACCCAGAGGAGTCCGGGGTTGGGGAGAGAGTGGAGGACACACTTTATCACAGGCAGGAAGCCACGAGGCTCTCCGAGGAGCAGAGTGTCCTTCCCACAGAGAACTCATTCCCTGCTAGTATCAGCTGGCCTGGAAGGTGGCAGCACAAACCAGCTATAAAGAAGGCACAGCCTGCCTGGATGTGTGGGTGCCCCACCCAGAGCCTTTGTCCATCTGCATGGCATCCTGCAGTCAGTCATTTCAGGGAAGCAGGCTTGCTTGTCATGATGCTTTGGTAGGTGAAGAGCAGAAATTCTTCCCCTCGTGTGTAGAGAAAAAGAGACCATTTGGGGGGGGGGGGTACACTCTTCCCTTTCAGTGCAGATGACATGACACTTGCCCAGTTCTTCAGTTATCCCTAAGAGCACACTTAAACATCTAATCTCTTTTCTAAGGGTCATGGCTTAACATTAATTTCACACATCACCTATACAGATATAGATACACTGGAAAGCAGTAAGGTGACCACACAGGCTCTCCAGATCCCGGGGCGAGAAAGGCACCAGGTGACTGTTTACCTTGTTTTTTTGCTGGAAGATCCTAAAACTACACAAAGGGAGTGGAAGTCCTTGAGGTGATATTCTAATACACTAATACAATTCGCCATTCGGTCCCTGGAGCTAAGCTCCAGGCATCAGGGCGTTCCAGCTCCGCAGGAAGGCAGGGACACTTGCGAACTAGTCTTTCTGGGCAAGTCTTGTCCCCATCTCTCCACCTCGCACAAGCGTCTATTTTGAGGACGCCCAACTTTGTGGCTTGAGAGGAAGGTACAGCTCCCCATTTCCGCTAGATGGCGATATTTTCCCTAATCCATCAACCTCAAGACACCCAATTTATAAAATAAATACAATCCAACGCCTTCCGAAACCACACCACATAATAACAGCGCAAGACTCCCATTAAAATCCCAGTCTGGGGAAATTGACTCTCCCTCCGAGCAAATCTAATGCAATTACTTTACTAAGATGCAATCTAGAGTTGCATCCGAGCGTCTTTCACATTTGCACCGGTCCCCCAATACACCTGCCCCTCTTCCCTAGTTCAGACCCGGGAATGAGCCAAGGCGCAAGTCAGGCGCTGAGTGTCTTGCCTTCCTCTCCACTTAGGAACGTCCAGCCTTTCCGGATTCTCTCCCCTTAGCATCCACCCCAAGTCTTGCACCTTCCCGCACACCGGACAATCCCAAGCAAGGCGTCACTCACACTTGAGCCTGAAAGGTGTACAACGCCAACGTCCCCCCCGCCCCTCACCCGGGCAGGCGCGCTCGTTTTCAGCCTCTGCACCCCCAGCCTAGGTGAAGCGAGCCAATGGGGCTTCACAGTCGGTCGGCAGGGTGGCTATGACCTGTCCAGAGCTCTGAGGGTCAGGAGGGGCTCTTGCCTCAGGAAGAGGTGGCCGCGCAGGAGAGAGGGAGCTCCAGGCCGGTTCACAGTGGGTGGGACGTGCGCCGGGTCTGCCCAGCCACGCGCAGCGCCTGCTGCCCGCAGGACAGCATTTTAGAGGGGAAAAAAAGAACAAACACCAAACCACAAAACTTTCCGGCTGCCAAGAGCGAAGGCGATTCATCCCAGGCAAAGCCCCAAATGTGTGAGATGAGACACCGGGTTGGGGGAGCCGCAGATCAGTGCGGTGGCAGCCGCAAGTGCCGGCGGCGCCTGAGGGACGTCAGGACCCCTTGCCCCGCTGTCTGCACTTACCTTGGCGGCTGCATGAGCCCCTCCAGCCCGCGGCGGGGTGGCGCTGGCGGGGCTGAGCGCGAAGACTAGGTGTGGGGCGGTCGCTCGTGGGCCCCTGGGCGAGGTGGGAGGGGCCCGGCTGGAGCTGGTCCCCGCAGCTCCGCGGACTCAGTAGCGGCCCGGGGCGCGCCGCCTGCTCCCGGGCTGCATGCCTGCGAGCGCCTGGAGGAGCCGGCCCCGGGAGCGGTTGGCCGGCCAGTGCTTCCCGGGAGCAGGGCTCGGGCGGCGCAGCCTGCGCTTCCGAGACAACTGCAGAGTAGGGCGATTCGGGCTGA